TTTTTATCAGCAGATTAATCTGAAACCAATGAAAGAAAGTTTCAAAAGTGAAGTGAGAATAGAATTAAACTAACAAATCAGAGATCCCAGATGATTGTATGTTTTAACTCCTCTCTCTAAACAATCGATTCCTGATATTCTTTCTTACCCTTTCTTTTGTACCTACACCATCTCATCTATGTAACAAAAAAGTTCAATTATCCCTATCTCTATAATATAACTATATTCGTGCTTTATCTACTAAGAATAGTGGGTGTATCAAACTGTTTGTATGAGTGTGTATGTGTATGTATATAGATAGACAAATGACCAAACATTTTTAATGTCCGGATGTAAAAGATCATTTGATTAAGCACAGAGAGTATTATCATATTTCCCTCTGTGATTTAAAGTATAAATCTATATAGACATCATAATTCTCAACGCATGAAAAATGATGTTTTGTGAGCAAAATGACCGTGTTATATACACGTACAACGTATGTTTTTTAATAACGGTGTTTCTGATTTATGCATACAGTATATTATTATTTTTATTAACCTGTTGTGAGAACAATAGGTTTACTGTATAGTCCTCGTAGGGTATGAAAAATAAATCATCAACAGTTTGGATTATATCCCCTCTAAATTTGGTAGCATGTTTTAAAGAAATATTTATTGTAAACATCATAGAAGATCACACCTGTTTAAAAGTCCATTCACACGAAATACGATATTGAACAAGTGCTCAATGATCATCTCGTTTTATTTTCAGACTGTCATTGAAAAGCACACAAGAAAAATCTGGTTTGTATCCGAAAATCGATTTTAAATGAAGTTTCTCGCTCCTAAATAGTCGCACATACATAAATAGCCGTAGTAAAAAAATCTCGATTTCATCTTTTTTGTTCTTGAACTTTCTCATTTCCAAGCTTTTCATACTCTCAAACTGGTGAAGTTTTTATGAAAAACGCTTACATCTCAAGAGCGACAACGCCAGTGGAAGTCAAATTCCAAGCCGATTTGAATGTATGAAAAAAAATCTTATGAAAAAAATTAAAGTGCGGATATTCAGTCGTTCAAAAGTTCCAGATGTGGTCAAGGTCAAAATGGAGCGTTCAGCACAACACAATAAACGCAGGAATAATAACAGACACTAAAATCATGTCTGTATTAAATTACAGCGAACACCTGAACTTACAAAATTATGAACAGTTTTTTTCGATTTTATTTTTCCATTATTTTTATTATCATGAAACTGTTTCAAAATAACGGTTTTTTTCTCTGCAAAATCTGTAGTTTACTTGAAGTTTTGCTCGTCTTAATTAGACCTTCCAGACAAAAAAGAGTTATGTCAATATCTAAAAGAGTTTTCGAGGTAATGATACAATCACCAAAGGAAATATTTAACTGAAAAGTAATTAGAGCATTCCACATCCTCTCCTCACTAATGTTTTTTAACATCATCCAATAAATCGTCTCCACTTAACTCTACCAAGTTATATTTTTGGGGGAAATTTTGCTCATTCATCCACCAACTCTTATAGAGCAATCGTCCTCAAGGATTAAATCGATATATATGCACAAATACCATTGAAGTATCATTATATTAATATTATAAATACAATAAATATAATAAAAGTTCGAGATTGAGCCTCGTGTTGATCAAACATGATTAGAATATATCAATTTACCAGTTATATCCGATTAATCACTAATATTCATTTCTAATACTAACAAATCAACCTTTCTTATGAAATTTAATTATTTACTATTCTGACTAAATTTATTTTATAATCGTTTTCTAATTACAGGAAAGTTTAATCTTGGAAATCTGATCTACCCCTTATTACACATGCAACCCCGACACTGCTTTTTTGCAACTTTTCCTCTCAACAAAATTATGAATATACACGTCGAATATCACAAAATAAATTTATCAGTTCGATTTTCAGAAACGATTACCCATCTTTAATCTAATAGTCTTTCTGATGGGTCTAGGGAGAAGATAAAATTCATTTTCAACATTGCGACTAAAGAAAATGATTTTGACGCTCGAGTTTAAATATCAAAACTATTTATTATTTCTATTTTATTTTCACATAGACTACTCCCAAGTGGCGCAAACTAATAAGAGTCGATAAAAACTACGAAACGCATCTGCGAATAATCAATTTACTACCGCATCTCGATTATTTTTACTTCTTTCAATACCATCACCACCACTTCTACGAACAATATACAATCACCACTACATATTTTCACTTCTATTGAGTATGTCTGGCATAAATATCAAAGCTCTAATGGCTGAGTGATGTGATGTAACGACTACGGCTAACCACAGAGATTGCAGAGTCCTTCTTCTTAGGTAACATATGGTATAACAAACGGTATCAAATCCCAGTTATATTCATCGAGTGTACGGTATGTGATGATGATACTTCGTTAATGAAATTTCATATATTCTCTTTGAAAAGCATATATCTTTTGGAATTCATCTTTTCCGAACTTTTTAAAATATTTTTGGAACACAAAGAAGGTGATCTGATGATACTAGACTTCATTGAGAGTCTGAAAGTCGACAATCTACACTAATCGAATATGCATATATCTTAATACCATTAACTTAATACATTTTGATGAAAGTATTAACGTTTGATCCTTATTTCTGAGATGGAACCTCTCATAACAACAAAACAAATTTCAGATCAGATTCGAACAAGCTCAGAAGCTGAGCAAATTTCTTCATTTATCTATGAATCTACACAAACCAAGCTCTAATTCACCTGACCTATTAAGAAAGAAATCTATTGGTTACAATATTGAACGATCATTTACATTTTTTCTTATCATGCATGATATTATATATTTTTAAAGATGATGAGCGTGACTAACACACAGAAAAGAGAACAGGAATTTTTGTTCTTAAATGTATCAGATCAATAGAANTATCATGCATGATATTATATATTTTTAAAGATGATGAGCGTGACTAACACACAGAAAAGAGAACAGGAATTTTTGTTCTTAAATGTATCAGATCAATAGAAAGGACAACCGGAAAAAATCTATTTATATCTAGAAATGAATTTTATACAATTTTATGTATACCTGTATGTGTTTGAAGTGAAGTCTATAGTCGACCTTTACATCTATGTTGTTTTTATAATATATATATAAAGAGAAAGAAAGTAGATGTGTGTAATTATGTCTATTCATATTCATTATACTAATATCGAATAATATAAAGCAAATTTTTGATAGATAGTTATTTCTTGAACTTTGACGAATGATACGTAAAATATGATTTTTTTCGTAAATGATACCTCCGACAGTTTAGAATATGATTAATTCATTGTATTTTCATCTTGCTTGACTGACTTTTCAATAATAAAAAGAAAGTCCATTAGATTAGACGACAAAAAAGAAGAAGATAAAATCTACTTATAAAATGCACAACAAATGAGTAATTACCTTTCAGACGATAAAACTCCTTGAAATGAAGTAAAAGATTATAATAAACATTAATAAAAAATCTATCTGATTTGAAAAATCTAATTAGTGCATCGAAATTATTATAAAGTTAAATCATCATAAAAGGTACACACACGAATATTGAAACAATTAAAGAAATTGAAAAGTCACTCTACACGATACGATCGTCTACGTTCACGATGAGTAAAAATAATTGATATTTAATCAAATAATTTCCTTATTTACGTTTTTCAAATAATTTTAAAGATAAAGTAAACGAGACCAATTTCAATTGTAAGTAGATAATGCGGATGTTTGAAACTATTCACTTTATCAAGTGATTGAATGACTCAATCAGACATGAATACTCAAAGATACTTCAAAGAGAAGAAGAAAAAAAATGTTTATTAAAACCATTTATTAGAATGCATAAATAGAAAATGTCGTAATAGAGAAAGAGTTTGTCAGCTGCTTACCTTATATGGATAGAAAAAAAAAAAAAACGAGAAGAAAATAAACTCGTTCGATAGAAATATTGCGATGAAGAAAACAAAAAAAAAAAAAAAAAAAATGTATGCTCTATTAATATACAGGTCATTATTAATGGTGCGTACACTGTTTCTTATTGCTCTATACAACTTCCAACTTTTATGTTCATTTTAGGAGGCTATATATATTTCCAATAAGTGTATAAATCATAAACATTCCCGCTGTCGTTTCTTTTAACATCCGTAATAGAAGGATTTTAGAAAAAAATTATTATTACATATGACATTTACATTTGATGTATATAAAATAGAGAAAGCCATACATACATTTCATATACATACACACACACACACATTTACATCATCAATGTTGATTTATCATGTATTCTCAAATGTTGAAAGACTTTGTTCTCTGTTCATAAAAAGAAAAAAGTTAAATAATTGTAAAATAACAATAATAAGTGTGACTGAAATGAAATGACCATAAAAGTGTTTAAATTATTACATTCCATCATCTACAATCAATAAAAATTAGTTTAATTGAGAGTATAATAAATTTTTCTTTTTTTCTCCCTTATACAAGTCTTTTAGAGTGAAGTGTCATTAAGTTTACTAGGCAACTAGAGTATTTGACCTTGAATGTAACATATGGTATCCGAGGTAAAAATGAAATAGAAAAGATGTATGGGTACTTGGTTAGTTTACTTGTTTTTAAAGAGTCAGACACTAGAGTAAGATAGACAATACATCAAGGTTAATAAAATTACACTGTTTATGTGTATTCAGAGATAAATTCAAGATTTTAAACAATTGATTCGAAAAATATCTTATAGAAAAAATAGTGTGTACAAGATTTTTGAAACAATTTTATCTTTAACATCCTCTTTCTCGTCTACTCTCTTATCCTTGTCTCTTGTAAAATGAGAAAATGAATTGATTTGATGGCAATAGTCGCTTGAAATACATACTTATACTTCTTACTCTTTTTGTACTTGATCAAAGTGTTGTTTTTTTGTTACTATACTTTTAATTTTTGTTTTTAGAAACATATGAATACTCAATGATGCTTTCTCCTTCTACGCCTATATATTTACGTTTAAAATATAGAAATAACGTTTATGATTTTAGTTTGACCGCTGATCTATTTCATTATGAAACAATTTTATCTCGTATTCAAACATATTTATCTAAATTAAATATTATCTGTTTTCAGTATGAAGATGATGATCGAGATCTTGTTAGTGTTAAAAGTGAATTAGAAATTGAACCAATAAAAGAATTTTATTTTAATTATTTAAAACAATGTCATCTGAATCAATATGAATATATTGAACCATTATTAATTCATCCGGTGGAAGGACCACGTCATCATTTACAATTAACTTTACCAAATGATAATTTATCAGTACTTTCCGATATATCTCAAATACGATCTCCAATATTTGAAATAAATAGTAGGAATAAACTTCATCGAAATTTGGAAGAGAATGTTTTTAATATTTTATCATCTGGTCAAATGTCTATGCTAACAGTAGAATATTTTGAACAAATTGGCAATGGTAATAGTGGATTAGTACATCGTTGTCGAGAACGAAATACAAAGCGTATAGTAGCTGTTAAAATAATATCATTAGACTATCAGAAAGATGAAAAAAAACAAGAAATAATTAGTGAATTAAACGCATTATATGCATTACATTCAAGTTATGTTGTTCAATTATATGGAGCTTATTTTCATGAAAATTCAATACACATATGTACAGAATATATGAACCGTGGTTCATTAGAACAATATTTGGGTTTAAATATACCGGAAAATGTACTTGGACGCATAACATTATCAATATTAAAAGGTAATATAATACATCAATTATCAAGTTTTAAACAGATTTTTTTTTTACAATATATTCTTATTGTACTATAGGATTGGTTTACATGTGGCAGAAGAAAATTATGCATCGAGATTTAAAACCATCAAATGTATTAGCAGATTCTTCAGGTACAAATTTCTTGTAGATCATTTGTTATGAGCTTTTTATTTTTAACTTTCCATATATTGTTAAGTCCATAGGTTGTTACAAAAAAGAGTAAGAATGATTAACAGATGTACCATGCCAAAATTTACAGTAAATCAAAATAAATTTTTTAACACACATATATCTAATTATACACTTAAACAATGAGGAAATAAAAAAAGGTAAAAAGTAAAAAGGAAACATATTAGTCATAAACTTTTATCGCGCTTATCCCAGGAAAAAAAGAACAGAAAAGAACAACATTATACTATGCATGAAAGAGGAATGAATTGCTATAAGTGTTAAATAATCAAAGTGAATTCTAATAAAGTAGAAAATCATTAGCATCTTTTTTTCTCTATTAGGTAATATTAAACTATGCGATTTTGGAGTTAGTCGCATAT